CCATGGTTTGTCATTTACAGCATCATGTGATGTGTGAACTCAGCGAGTGGTAGCTTGTTAACTTTTGTTAAAGCATAGCTTACAGTAGTGTAAGGTGGAATTTTTCAACCTTGGCCATTTGAATATTCATGAAGTCAACTCCCAGAATTCCCCAGCAAGCAAGGAGTTCCCAAAGTGGCAAGACTGACTGGGGAATTCTGGGAGTTGAAGTCCACACTGAGTTGCAAGGTATGAATCCTACCTTTGCATCTCTTCTGCAAATCATCTCTCTTTACTTTAAAGTTTGTTTGGAACCTTGAATACCTCCTGCTGCAATGAAATAATCTGAAGATGAACTGGAACAATTTCTCCCAGAATTTCCAACCATCTTAAGCCACTTTGGGAACTCCCGTAATCTCTAATTACTGTTAGCTAATCCAAATTAATCCTAATTACTGTTAGGAATTCACTGCAACATTTTTTACTTGCACCATTTTTTATTTTCTCTGCATAAGCTCTCTTTGCTTTCTCACTTTCTCACAAATTGCACAATTCCCAATCAAGGCAGGACAAGACAGGACAGATGGGAAAAGAAAAGGTAATGATTTTGCTTCCCAGATTCATGCAGACTTACCTTGTTTTCATTTCCCTTGTTTCCGTCACCAGTGACAGCTGCAGTTTTATTTTCCCCTCGAAGAGAACATTCTAGTCATGGCAGCCTCTTCCTTCTGATGTAGTTTGCATCCAGGCTCTTGTCAGTTGTGATTCAACAGGGTTGAAGTTCAGTCCAGATCGAAAGGGGAGGAGAGGGGGGGGGGAATCTGCTCCAGCCTCTGATTGGCAGAAACTCATCTCTGCAGAAATACGTTTCCCACGCTTGCCTCTTCAATTGCCCCCTTTGTGCATGGGCCTTGCCAGTGAAAACTGGCATAGGCTGTTCTTCCAAAAACTGTGCCGCTGGTTACCACCTCAGTCCAGGCAGGAGAAATAATACAGAACTGGGCAAAAGTCTCCACTACTCACAACACAACCAGAATGGGATGTCACCCACCGCTCTCCCATCACCCCCCCCCCCATTTGTCTTTGTGGATTACATATTAACTAAAGTTGTTTGCTTAAGAATGTTAGGTCTTTTATTTGTATCAGTGCAGAGATTTTAGCTGAACAACTCATGCTGCAGGAAGGTAATTTGTGTCACTGAGACTCTTGGTACTGAATGTTTGCATTGTGACCCTCTTTCTGCCTTGTGGGGAGAAGCTCTTCTATTTCTGGTGGTCTTTTTAGATGGAGATATAGGAAATTAATAGTGGTGGGTTCCTAGCCAGTTTACTATCGGTTCGCTGAGAGGGCGTTTTGTGCGCATGCTGTTCGCTTTGCTCACGTGTGCGCCTGCCGCGTGTTGCTGCGCTTGGACAGTTGACTGAAAACTGTTCTGCGCATGCGCAGAAACATGCCGGCGATGGCAGAAGAGAGTGGGGAACCGGTTTGGGGGTGTGGCAGTGGGTTGCTGCCGGTTCCAGCGACCCAAGCCACCATACCCCTACCAGTTCGACCGAATCGATCTGAAACTGTAGGAACCCACCACTGGAAATTAGGAAATAGTCATAGTGCTAAGATTTTTGCAAGTGGCTTATGCCAGAGGTTTGGAACCTGTAGCCCTCCCGTTGTAGTTGGAATCTATCCCTTTGGTTTTTTCAACATCCTGGATGAGACATCTGTGAATGAGAGGACCAGTTTGGTCTAGTGGTTAAGGCACCAGGCTAGAAACTAGGAGACTGTGAGTTCTAGTCATAGAATCATAAAATCATAGGGATGGATATGGCCTTGGAGGTCTTCTAGTCCAAGGGAGGAGATATTATTGTATCTTGATCACATGGCTGTCCAATCTTTTCTTGAAGACCTCCAGTGATTGAGCATCCACAACTTCCGGAGGCAAACTGTTCCCTTGATTAATTGCTCTTACTCTCAGGGAATTTCTCCTTAATTCCAGATTGGATCTCTCTTTAATGAGCTTCTACCCACTGCTTCTTGTCCTTCTGTCTGGTGCTTTTAGAGAATAAGTCAATTCCGTCTTCTCTATGACAGTCCCTTTAGGATTAGAAGACAGTTATGCTGTTGCCCCCAATCCTTCTCTTTGATAGCCGCTGGGCATACCTAGTATGTTTAGTCTCCAGACCCATTATCAGATTGTTGCTCTTCTCTGCACACACTCAAAGGTGTCAGCATCATTTTGGTATCATGGTGACCAGCACTGTACAAAATATTCCAGATGAGGCCTCACTAGTGCAGTATATTGCGATGATATCCCTCTGTTGATGCAGACTAAGACTGCATTGGCTTTTTTTTTGGCATCTGCTGGCTCATCCTTAAGTGATAGTCCACTAGGAGACTAAGATTCCTTTCACAGGCATAGTTGTTGAGCCAGGTCCCGCCTATTCTATACTTATGTGTTTGTTTTTTCCTGCCAAAGTGCCAACCGTGCAAAAAAGCTGCCAGATCAGGTATAACTCACTTAACAGCCATCTTGTTCAGCAACAGAAATTCTGGTCCCAGTTTTGGCCGTTAAGTCAAGGATTGCCTGTATTTTAACAGTGGGAAAGACCAAGCTGAAAGTCGACTCTGAAGGAGGCATCTAAAGAACCTGTGTCACAGCTCAGAGTCAAATCAGGGACTTCTGAATATGTGACATTTGGTTGCACTAGCACAGCATTGGCTGGGCAATTATGAGACTTGAAATCTAGGCATTGTGAGCCATAGTGGCACAATGGTTAGAATGCAATATTGAAGGCTAACTTCCCAAAGCCAAGAGTTCGATCCTGGTTGACTCAGCCTTCCATCCTTCTGAGGTCAATAAAACAAGGACCCAGATCGTTGGGGGCAATATGTTGACATTTGTAAAGCACTCTGGAGTGGTATCTAAGTCTAAGAGCCATTGCTATTGCTCCAGAGGTGCACTTTCAAGAAGCAACTGGACTTTCTATGGCTTTTCATTGAAGATGTTTTGCTTCTCATCCAAGAAGCTTCTTCAGCTGAAGAGCGAAACATCTTTAAAGAAAAACCAGAAAGTCCAGTTGCCTTTTGAAAAAGAACCTTTGGGACAACCATGACCTGGATGACTGAGAATCTCCATAGAACTATTGCTATTTTAAAGGTGCCAAGTTTGAAAAATATGGGCCTAGCAGACTAGGGTCTCTCCGCATGTACATTATCCTTACCTTCTTCCTCCCCAGGAGTACCTGGAGGTGATTTTCCTTTACTCTGGTAACCATGAAAGAAAGCTCTTGGAAGTTATAATCCAATTCCCTCGTGAAGTTGGAAGCTCCATTGAGTTCACTGCAAGTAAACCTGGTTTGGTGTGGTTGATCTGAACACGGGAGGTTTCTGCATCGGACCAATGGCCCGTTGACTACTAAATTAGTACACCAGCGAAATGTTGTGGACATAGTATACTTGCTGTAGAAAGACACTAGCAATAGCAATAGCAGTTAGACTTATATACCGCTTCATAGGGCTTTCAGTCCTCTCTAAGCAGTTT